ACACCACCCCGCCACCCGTGTCCCTAGTCAATGGCATAGCTGAAGGTAAACTAAGCCAATTGAGAGTGAGAGCGGTGTTTCCTGAATGAGTCACATGGGTGATCCCAGCTAATGGGGGATCACATAGCAAATGGGATGACATTTTTCACAAGACTATATAGCCAATCAGATTTGGCTATGTATAGCTATTACTGAGGTCAAAGGATGTCAGTGCAGAGCGAGGTCAATGCTTCTTGAATTGGCTTGAGTGATAACAGGGATAACTGCAATCCAAACAAAAGGAGTGTGAGTTGTGGGGCAGGGAATTGAAAGCAACCCCTGATGTCTTCAAAAGGCACAATTTAAGACTTTTCAGCTTCATTGTAGAAAGTGTTCTATTCCAAAGTGCCCACTCTTTTAAATCGCTTGCAAGTTTACTTTAGCATTGGTACTCTTGACAGTGGCCATGCTTTGCTTGATGCTTAGCTAAATTCTGGATTCTGTTAAAGCAACAGCTGCCTCCCTTTGGGAGCTCTCTGTGGTCCTGAAGAGTCTGATGCTACTTCCGGTGACTGGATTTGTAGACAGGAACTGCTCTCTGGAGACTGTTACTTGCTGCTGGGTGAATCCAGCTAAAACCACAGGACCCAGAAGTTAGACTGTCCCTGTCCAGATAGGGGTGCAGCTGGGCCACCAGCCGAAGCTGATGGAAGACACTCTACACCATCAAGGCCACCTGAGTCTCAGCGACAGCAGAGGATCCAGGAGTACCCTCCAAGCTACATACCTGCTCCTTCAGAGGGAGTGTAACCCTATCAAGAACAGGCCACCTCCCAGCCATTTGTTCTGTGGAACCACCCATGAACAGTGCCCCAGTCTTACCTGGATTGAGCTTCAGTTTGTTGACTCTCATACTGAGGCAAGACATCGGTCCAGCACATGCACTACCTCACCTGCAGATGTAAAAAGTAGACTTGTGCTCCAGAGGGTAGGACCCAAGCCAATCATTAAAAGAAAGGAGATTCTGACTAAACATTAGGAATAAATATCTGGTGGTAAGAGCTGTTTGACAGTGGAATGGGAGCTGGTTAGCTCTCCTTCATTGGAGGTTTTTTAAGAGAGTTTGGATGATTCCTGCATTGCAGGTAGTTGGACTAGATGAGCCTTGTGATCCCTTCCAACTCTACAGTTCTGTGATTATCCTGTTTGGTGTCACCAGTGCCCTTGCCTGTTGAATTAGGCATGTGAGTGATCCTAGCCAGTCGGGGTCATTCAGTAAATGGGTTACTGTTACAGTGCTCCATAGCCAGTCAGACATGGCTGCATGAGGGTGCCAGTGAAGGTAGGTGAGAGCCAGAAAGCGCACTTTTCTGTGAATTTTCTTTATTTTAAGGAGGGGTGAAAAAATGCTGGGGAATGGGAAGTCAATTTTCAGCACTGCAGAAAATTGTGCGCAACACAGTTGTGTGCTATTATGTCCCAACCCCTTTGAAATTCGTTTTTCATTCTCAGATTCAGGACGTCAATTTCTATAACTGCAGCTGGGGCTGGATCTTGAAACAGCAGTGCTATATAGCAAGCGTTACTGGGAAATGGGGGGGGGGAGAGAAATAATCTGAGACGCTGATAGAGATCAGCCAAAAGGGGGCAGTGTTTATTAAGTTGAAGTCCAAAACTGTTTAGAATTTTTTTTCTGGGGTGGTCTTATGACACAGCAGAGCACTCTTCTACAGCATTTCTCCTCCCTATCTAGGTGTCTGTCATATTATAGACCACCTTATCCCCTAGGCTCTGGGTGTCTTAAAAGTAATTCAAAGTCACATCACTGATCCCCCGCCAAGGGCTCATTAACTAAGTAACAGGCAGCCAAAAGGAAAGGCAATTGTAATAGTAGCTGTCATTGTTACATATCAATTACAGCTATCAATACTATATCATTACCAATATTATATTATGAATAGGATTACTATTGTATGATTTCTGCTCTTAATAAAGCATGGCAAATAGGACGCGGGTGGCGCTGTGGTTTAAACCACTGAGCCTCTTGGGCTTGCTGATCGGAAGGTCGGTGGTTCGAAGCCATGTGAAGGAGTGAGCTCCCTATGCTCTGTCCCAGCTTTTCCAACTTAGCAGTTTGAAAGCACACCAGTCCAAGTAGATAAATAGCTACTGCTGTGGTGGGAAGGTAAACAGAATTTCCGTGTGCTCTGTTTCCATCACGGTGTCCCGTTGTGCCAGAAGCGGTTTAGTCCTGCTGGCCACATGACCCGGAAAGCTGTCTGTGGACAAATGCCGGCTCCCTCAGCCTGAAAGCAAGATGAGCGTCACAACCCCATAGTCGCCTTTGACTGGACTTAACCGTCCAGGAGCCCTTTAGCTTTACCTTTTACCTATAGCATGACTAGCAAAACTTTATTTGCTTAAGCGTATTTCTAAACCACAGTAGTACCTCGGGTTACATACGCTTCAGGTTACATACGCTTCAGGTTACAGACTCCGCTAACCCAGAAATAGTGCTTCAGGTTAAGAACTTTGCTTTAGGATGAGAACAGAAATCGTGCTCCGGCAGCGCAGCGGCAGCAGGAGGCCCCATTAGCTAAAGTGGTGCTTCAGGTTAAGAGCAGTTTCAGGTTAAGAACGGACCTCCGGAACGAATTAAGTACTTAACCCGAGGTACCACTGTATATACTTTTATACAACACTAAAATTGGCTTCAGTGATACCATCGAAGCAGGACTTTGGGGGTAGAAATCTGCTACTCCGGCAGCTAGGACTCAAGCTAATGGATTCAAATGACAAGAAAGGAGATTCTGATTAAACATTAGGAAGAGCATTTTGACAGTAAGACCTGTTTGACCATGGAACAGGCTCCCTTGGTAGGTGGTGAACACTCTTTCATAGGCAGTTTTAAAAAACAGAAATTGGGTGGATCTGTCAGGGAGACTTTAACTGTGTTACCTGCATCACAAGGCATTGGTCTTGGGAGTCCCTTCCTACTCTAAACATCTATTATTCTATCACCCATTCATCTTACTTGGCAAGGATATGCAGCCATTACCCATATGCAGCCAAGCTGCCTTTTCACATTTTGATATATATATATTTTAAATTATTTAGCACAATTTATATGCCACTTAATAATAGTAATAATAAACTTCCAAGTGGTTTACATAAAACATCCATAAGAAAATCCCTTTAGCCTACCTTACAAGGCTGTTGTGAGAATAAAACGGCAGTGTGAGGGACTAGGCTCACCACCCTGAGCCCCTTAATGCAGGAGCGAGGAGCCTGTGGCCCTTTCAGCTGTTGTTGGACAGACTCCAACTCCCATCAGCCCCAGCCAGCATGGACAGAGGCAAGAGGAGATGGAAGTTGTAGTCCAGCCACCTCTGGAGGACCGCGGGTTAACAGCCTGTGCCATAAAGGAAAAGCTAGCATAACACATGTAAGAAATGACATGTTTCTAGCTCCTTGGCTCACTAGCAGTTATCTCATGACCATTTGGGAATAACAAATGGGATGGGTCGTAGATCAAGGACACAGCATCCGCTATGCATGTATAATAATAATAATAATAATAATAATAATAATAATAATAATAATAATTTATTATTTATACCCCGCCCATCTAGCTGGGCTTCCCCAGCCACTCTGGGCGGCTTCCAACAAAATATTAAAATACAGTCATGCATCAAACATTAAAAGCTTCCCTAAACAGGGCTGCCTTCAGATGTCTTCTAAAAGTCTGGTAGTTGTTTTTCTCTTTGACATCTGATGGGAGGGTGTTCCACAGGGCGGGTGCCACTACCAAGAAGGCCCTCTGCCTGGTTCCCTGTAACTTGGCTTCTCGCAGTGAGGGAACCCCCAGAAGGCCCTCGGTGCCGGACCTTAGTGTCTGGGTAGAACGATGGGGGTGGAGACGCTCCTTCAGATATACTGGACCGAGGCTGTTTAGGGCTTTAAAGGTCAGCACCAACACTTTGAATTGTGCTTGGAAACATACTCAGAAGATCCTCAGATCAAGCCCCAGCTTCTCCAAGTAGGGCTGCAAATGTAAGCTGTCTAGAGAGTGTAGACAAACACTCACCTAGATGGACCAATGGCTTGACTGAGAATAAGGCAGCTTCCCGTGTTCTTGTGGTTAGCCAAAGAGGATGCCTTTGTAATACAACTGCTGCTGCGGCTGCTGAGTTGGCTTAAGAAAATAAGCGCAGAAACCCAGACATCTTTCACTTCCTGGCCTAATTCCACCTCATCTGTTGACATTGTTATATAAAACTGCGAGAGGGAAAGAGAGATACTGCGGAGGGAGGAGAGAGTGCTGCAGATTATAATTCCACATATTTATTTAGAAGCTCGAGTCTTTGGGGCATTCCAGCCGCCCATTCCAGCACTAAGTGCCATCACCGCATTGATTTTCCCTTACTCTGGATAACCTACTTTACTCCTGGACTCTTCCTGCCTCCAGAAGGCCATTATATAATGTCTCTCTCTGTGTGTGCATGTAAAGGCAGGTTGCTTTCCCCAAAATGTTCGATACGGTGGGTTAATTAACAGAATGGCTCTGTCACCAGAGTTGTTTATTCCTCTTGCTGTTCTTGTATCTTTTTTCCTCCCCCTCTTTTAAATTTGTGTCCTCCAGTCCTGGATTGTGCTACTAACCTTGTCCAGCGAAAACGTCCTCCCTAATCAACCGCAAAGCCAGCTCGTACCTCTGCCGGGCTTCACGGTGGAAAGAGCAATCTCCAACTCCTGGGGAAATTGTAGCCTCCCCACCCCCCAAACAAACTCCAATTGCAAGTGACAACGGATCTCTCTGAGGCAGCACAGGGGCAGCCAATGTGTGAGATGTCTAGATGGAAGAAAAGGGTTGGTGGGGAGAGTCTATGTCAGTAGTCATTTCAGCAGTTTCCTCTCGTGTATCTGCTGCTACTCAACATCTTGGAACGTGAAGAAGAGCCCTGATCGATCAGAATAAAGACCTTTCTGGCCCAGGGATAGCCAGTATCCAGATGGGAGAAGGGTTCAGTGTTAGTGGTAGAGCGTGTGCCTTGCAAGCAGAAGGTCCCAGGTTCAAATCCCTGGCATCTCCAGGTAAGGCTGGGAGACACACCTGCCTGAAATGCTGGAGAGCCAATCGGTGTAGGTAATACTGAGCTAGATGGACTCAGTAGAAGGTGTGGACTACAACTCCCATCAGCCCTCAGCCAGCCAGCCATTAGGGTCAATGGTTAGGAAGAGTTGGAGTCCTGGAGGACCCCCATGCAGGCTACCCAATCAAGTCTATCCATCTTGTTTTCCACAGCCTGCCGTTTCTGGAGGGTGGGTGCCATGTTCACTACCACAGGCTAGGCTGCATTCACACTACAGTTTATTCCATTTGCCTGAAGTTTCCCTAACTGTTAGTCTACTCATTAATTTGAGATTTCATACGATGTAAGAGCCACTTCAGAACGTAGTGCATTATTTGGTGCTCGTTTCTGTGCTGCTTAATTCCGGGGGGGGGGTGTCCATTTGCAGCCCCCTCAGAATGGAAAATCACAGGAGCGAAGTGACAAAAACTGGAGGCTGTATAAGGGCATGCAGTTATTTCTGGCTGCTTTCCTGAGGGAGCAGAAGCACACAGGTGTGACAGTGAGCAAGCAGCATTGTCATCCAATGATGTTCATTTTTTTGTCACACCACACCCACTGAGGTAAATGAAATATAGTGTGGCATGTCGGTATATCATAGAACTGTAGAATTGGAAGGGACCCCAAACATCATCTAGTCCAACCTCCTGCAAAGCAGGAATCTCAACTAATGCATCCTTGACCGGTGGGCATCCAGCCTTTGCTTAAAAGTCCCCCAGTGAAGGGGAATCCACCACCTTCCAATGGAGTCTGTTCCACTATCAAACACCTCTTATTGTCAGAAAGTTCTTCCTGGTGTTTAGTAGGAATCTCGTTTCTTGTAACTTGAAGTCATTGGTTTGGGTCCAACACCCTGGAGCAGCAGAAAACAAGCCTGCTCCCTCTTCCATATGATAGCCCTTGAGATATTTGAAGATGGCTCTCTTATCTCCTCTCAGTCTCCTCTTTTCCAGGCTAAACATACACAACTCCCTCAACCATTCATCATAAGGCCTGGTTTCCAGACCCTTGATCATCTTGGTCATCTTCCCTTTACTGGGGTTATGCTTCTGTTGATATCGCTCTCCTCTGTATATGTTCCAACTTGTCAATATCCTTAAATTATGGTACCCAGAACTGGACACAGGACTCCAGGTGTGGTCTGACCAAGGCAGAATAGACTAGTACCTTTATTGGGACGCTATACTTCTGTTGATAACGGCCAGTACTGCAGTGTTAAATGAATGTCAGAAAACATGAAAGAACCACTGGCGTTGCAACCAGAAAAGCCAACACAGTATTCCCCATATCCAAATGCAACCCTGGTCTATCTTGTCTCCCACACTAGTCATCACACTAGCCAACCAGGGCAAGAAGAGAATATCCCCTGCCATGCTTTTATTTTAATCACAGCACCTGGAGTTCAGTGGGATCCTGCTTCTTCACAAATGAGGTTCCATATAGCTAATAGGCATTGATCAGCCCATGCTCTATGAATTTGTCTAATTTCCTTTTGGCACAAGGATGGCTAGCCTGGGCCTCCCTTCAGATGCTGTTGAGCCCAAAGTCTCTTCAGTCCCAGCCAGCATGTCCAATGGATAGGGTTGATGAGAGCCACGCTCCTGCCACAGCTGGAGGGAGGCAGGATAGCTACCCCCTGTTCCAATGCCATTGTACATGAATTGACTCAGACGTGGGACTGTACATTTCCTCCTTGTTTGGAAATTGCTTGGCTTCTTTTCAGGCTAATTCAGTGAAGGTCACAGGGCATTTGTCCTCCATTTTTGATTGTTTGGGAGCTGGTGAAAGGACTGCCTCCTGTGGATCCCTGTAGCGTTTACAAGCAGGCATAATAATGTGGTGAGGAGTAAGCAAAGAGAGGTTTCCTTAGCAAGAAAAGAAAGGGAAAAGGTTTCAGTTTGTTCTATTGATGAGCTTCTCTGTATAATGACTGCCAGGAACTCAAAAAAACGAAGTATAAAAGGCAATTAACAGCTAACAGTTAGCGGCCTGCCCAGGATGCTTCTCGCAGAACTTGCCCAGAGTGTTTCTTATAACATAGATAAGAAAGTGCTGATAAGTTCTCAGTGAATTGGTAAGTTTAAAGTGGAGAAACGAAAAATTACTTCCCTGAGCAGCAATTAAAGTCCATTAAAGTCCTGCGGAGCTCCGAAGCCTGCTTTCTGAACCAACGCCATCTTGCATTTGTGTCTAACTTGTCCTGTGCCATTGTGCTTCAGACTGCTCATTGCTTGATGGTCTGAATGGCTTCCCAAAAGCCTCTGGTTGGCCTCTGTAAGAAACAGGGTGCTGGGAAAAGCCAAGGCTAGGCAAAGTGATGCTCTCTGGATGTTGTTAGACTCCCATCAACTCCAGCCAGCAACATCTGGAGGACACCATGTTGGCTAACCCTGAGCTAGACAGACTTTTGGCAATATCTTCCAGGCCAGGACTCTTTGTCAGGGTGGAGTGTAATGCCGTTCAAAATGGTGGCTTCCTTATTTGTTTTCCCTGAATTCCTCTTTCCCTGTCACACAACAGGAAAGACTTCTGAACTCATTAGAAGTCACTTCCAGTTTGCTCTCATATAACAGGGATTGCCTCTTCTGATCGTTTTAGTAAAGGTACCTGTATTTCTGTTTTGAATCACACAGAAGGAAATGCTTCATTTGACCATTTTAGAAGTATTTCCCAACCCTGACCTTCAGGCTTATTCTTAGGTTCCTATACAGGTGTGTTTGTGTGTGCAGGGGTGTGTGTATACCTTGCCAGATTGCAATATTATTGTGACTCCCCTGCTCAGCGCCTGAGGGCCCCAGTCCTGCCACTCAACACCTGGCCTAGGGTGGGGCCTGATGGGCTCTATAAAGGACTGCTGCCGCTGCTGGGCAAAGAGGGCTCTGTTTTGTTTTGTTTTTGTTTTTTGTTTAAATTGCTATTATTTTTTGTGGGAATGTTCAGGGATGCAGGAGAGGATATATTGTCTGATTATATTCTTATCCAACTTGTGTTAACAAGTTCCACAATTTCAGCAGAGTAACATTCCCTTCTTTTAAATTTGCAGCGGCTGCGTTTGCTCAGGCTCACTAAAGCCTCTATAATAACTGTTCTGGTATTTTCCCCTTATTCCCTCATAAAATATAAGAGACGACACAGTCTTCTACAAAAGTATAAAAAAGAGTTTACTCACATTCTGTTCACAATCAGATCCCAGAAGGCAGACTTAGCTTAATGAAGTAACATACACTTGGAATCTGTCTCTTAAGAAGATAGTCCCTTGTCCTCTCTTGGCTGGAAGCCAAGGGGGCATCTTTGGCTTAGTAGATGTTGTTTCTTCGATACATGTGGTGAAAGAGAGAGAGATGGCTGCCCTGGCCTGTGCTTTTGTCATTACCTGCACAGGTGAGGCCACACCCACCTCTAGTCACATGCAGAGGAAGTCTGTCCCAGCCCAGAAGGAAACAGGAAGCTTACCTGCTGGCTGGACAAACATCCCTCCCCATGTGTAAACAAGTTCACTCTAGGAATGTTGTACTTGACTGCTCTTGTGTTTCACATCCTACATTTTTTACCTGTCATTTTAAACTGTGATATTAATGCTGTATTCTTAGCTTTAGATTTTGATTTATGTGAAAATTGTTTCCCATTTGGTTGTGTATTTTTTTAATGTGCTTTATTTATTGTTTATGACTTTTGTAATTATGTAAATGTTGTTCTGCTGTAAGCCGCCTTGAGCATTGTTTTTTAACTGTGGAAAGGTGACATACAAATAAAAAATGATGATGATGATGATGACTGCAATTCTTTTTTCCCAATAGGGCAAAGGTAAAGAAAGGAGTAAATATCCTGAGTGCAAAGGCAAGTGACCCAAGGCAGTGGGACGTGACGCAGAACGTAGGAAATGGTGGGAAACACTCGACCACAACAGTGATGTGTCAGAGAATAATGCAGAGTCCAAGGAGCAGGTGAGTTGGTGCCATTGCCTTGGGACATGAGGCTCCCATCGTATCGGTTTGATAACCACATAACATGTGAAAAGGCTTTGATTCTGATCTAGCTATTATTCCACATAGTCAATAGGATGCTCGCCAGCTGGGCCTTTTGTCTGATCCAGCAGGGACCTTCTTATATTTTTCATGAAACTTCATTGTATAGAGGCAATGTCTCTCTGAAGTGGGAAATGGCTGGAGACCAGCATCTAGAGAGGGCTGTGGCCTTCACAGCTTGCTTTGGAGCTTCCTGAAGGCATGTATTGAACAACCATGAGATACCGTATTTTTCGCTCTATAGGACACACCAGATGATAAAGACGCACCTAGTTTTTTTTGGGGGGGGGGGGAGGAAACAAGAAGAAAAGAATTCTGAACCCCAGAATCCAGAACAGCAAGAGGGATCTGGCTTCTGGGATAGCCTCTTGCTGTTCTGGCTTCGGGGACAGCCTGTGAAGCCTCCGCAGGGCAGCGGGGTGCCATCACCCCACTGTCCTGCGGAGGCTTTGCACAGCCATACCCAAGCTAGAACAGCGAGATGGACGGCTGCACAGCACTCCGTCTCCCTGTTCTGGCTTTGGGCTTAGCCGCGCAGCCTGCATTCGCTCCATAGGACGCACACACATTTTCCCTTACTTTTTAGAAGGGAAAAGTGTGTCCTATAGAGCAAAAAATACGGTACTTGTTTCTCCCTCTCTTGTGATGCTAGATTTTGGGGCCATCCAATGAAGGTGAATGTTGGAAGATGCAGGACAGGCAAACAAAGCACTGCTTTATACAGTGCATGGTTAAACTATGGAGTTCATTCCCACAAGATGTAGCAACGGCCACCAACTTGGATGGTTTTAAGAGAAGAGTAGACAAGCTGAAGGAAAGGTAACTTTCCCAGTGGCTCCCTTGCACTCAGGTTCTGTTTGTGAGCTTCCCTTTGGCATCTGGTTGGCTGATCTGAGAACAAGATACTAGACCCTTGGCTATTCTTATGTGAGAAAACAGGATCTTTAATCTTACCCAACATAACATCTTTACTCTCTGTAAAGGAGAATCTGCCTATCATAAATGACGATTTTGCTAAACAGAAAAAATGCATGGTTTTAGGATTTGAACTTAGTGTGAATTTGAACTTTAGGATTTGAACTTTAGTTCAGTGGTAGAGCAGCTGCCTTACATGCAGAAGGTCACAGATTCAATCTCTGGCACCTCCAGGCAGGGCCTGGAGAAGACTATAAGGTTGTAATCTTGGAGAGCTACTGCCAGAATAGATAGCATCAATGGTATAAGGCAACTTACTATGGTTAGTGGTGGGTGAGTGTGTTAGCAAAGAGTCCTCTTGTTCTTCAAATGGCTTTACAGAACATTGGTTCATTTGGCTCCATTGCTCTGATCTTACATTTCTTGAGAGAGATGTCCTCATTGCTGGTTGGTCTATCACTTTTCCAATGAGCTCTTCCTGTATTACAAGTTAGCATGGGGCCATCGTGCAAAATAAAGCTCTTTGGGGGGCACAGGAAGAGGAGGGTAATATCAATCTATCACTCTCCCCCCACAATTTGCAAATGAGAAGAAAGTGGATTTGAATGTGCATTAGGAAAGCATGTACAGAAAAAAAAATTGCCTTGAAGCCTCTTCTCTCTCTCTCTCTCTCTCTCTCTCTCTCTCTCTCTCTCTCTCTAAAACAGGCAAGTAGCACCGTGTAATATATGCTGAAACCCTGATCAGTTTATTTATAGTGCAATTCTGTGGGGCGTGGGCAAAGGTCTCAAACCGTTTTCTTTCTTTCTTTTTGGCTACAGATGGTACCTAATTCTATCCCAGGCGGGAGGAGGGGACCCTGTTGCAAAGCCTTCATTAACTGCACTACTCATCCAGATACATGTTCCTTGTTTGGCTTCTCTTCCTTTCTGCCAGGTGGCCTTATGATTCTTCCCCCGCACTGATGGGTGCAGGCCTAGTGCCAGTGTTGGGCACCCTTGAGTAGTTGCTGCAGCCCCCAACCTGGCTGAACATTGCTTGGATGCATGCCCAGCCCCACTTTTCCAGCTCTCCTTTTCTAGTGCTCCAATGTACATGGGGACAGCTCAAAGCTGCCATTAATAAATTTCTGGCAATGCCCTAGAACAGGGGTCAGCAACCTTTTTCAGCCATGGGCCGGTCCACCGCGCCTCAGACCATGTGGTGGGCCAGACTATATTTTGGAAAAAAATATGAACAAATTCCTATGCCCCGCAAATAACCCAGAGATGCATTTTAAGTAAAAGCACACATTCTACAGTCATACCTCATGTTACGTCCGCTTCACGTTACGTTCTTTCAGGTTACGTCCTGCAGCAACCTGGAAGTACCAGAAAGGGTTACTTCCGGGTTTCGCTGCTCATGCATGTGCAGAAGCGCAAAAATTACGTCACACGCATGCGCAGAAGTGGCAAATTGCAACCCGTGCGTGCGCATATGTGCCACTGCAGGTTGCGCTCTTTTCATGTTGCGAACGGGCCTCCAGAACGGATCCCGTTCACAACTAGAGGTACCACTGTACTCATGTAAAAACACCAGGCAGGCCCCACAAATAACCCAGAGATGCATTTTAAATAAAAGGACACATTCTACTCATGTAAAAACACCAGGCAGGCCCCACAAATAACCCAGAGATGCATTTTAAATAAAAGGACGCATTCTACTCATGTAAAAACACGCTGATTCCTGGACCATCCATGGGTCGGATTGAAAAGGCGATTGGGCCAGATCTGGCCCACGGGCCTTAGGATGCCTACCCCTGCCCTAGAACAACCTCAGTGTGACGTTGCTGTGGGGCATCTTGGAAGGAGATATTCGATTCACTTTTCGATTAAAGGCAAACAGAGCCACCCTTCAAAATTTGCACTTTTTTCTGATTTTTGTTGTGTGGTTCTCCAGCCAAATCATGTGAACATAAATGCAAAATGTAATTGCTAATGAAAATAACCTGCAAAAATGCATTATATTTGGGAGGGTTGCTTTGCAAAAATGTGTGTAATAGGCAAAAGTGCATGCAAAAATCTATGCTATTCCATTAGTTTTCCAGAAGTGGCTTTCACGTTGTGTGAAAGCTCAAATACAATGCAGAAATTAACAGTTTTCCAACTGACACTAAACAATCTGTGGCTGCTGAGCATGTGCAATTTCCACTGGGTTGATTTGCACGTAGTATTATTATTAACCTCTTTTCAAGGAGGGGGGAAAAACTTCACAAAGTAGTTTACAAACTACATACCAAACATAAACAATGAAATATAAGCTACAGCCATTCAGAATATCCATCTCACTTTGAAACATTATAAAAAAGGCTGCACGAAAATAACAGTAACCCAGCATAACACAAACTTTCTGAAACCATGTCATCGTGCCAGTTCTGCAGCTCAAATAATAATTACCGTATTTCTCGCTCTATAAGACACACCAGACCACAAGACGCACCTAGTTTTTGGAGGAGGAAAACAAGAAAAAAAATATTCTGAATCTCAGAAGCCGGAACAGCAAGAGGGATTGCTGCACAGTGAAAGCAGCAATCCCTCTTGCTGTTCTGGATTCTGTGATAGCTGTGCAGCCTGCATTCACTCCATAAGACGCACACACATTTCCCCTTCCTTTTTAGGAGGGAAAAAGTGAGTCTTATAGAGCAAAAAATACGGTAACTGCTAAAGGCCACTTCAGAATGCAAAATGCTGTAAGGCAGGAGTAGGGAACCTCTGGCGCTCCAGAGGTTGTTGAACTACAACTCCCATCAGCCCTTGGAGCAAGCATGGCCAATGACCAAGAATGATGAAGGCTTGGGCTTACGTTTTGGGAGCCACTGCTGAAAAGGCCCTGTTCTGCATGCTCCCTTAGTTAGTTAGTTAGTTAGTTATTTTTATGCAAGCTTCAGGGCTCTCTCCCCTCTATCCAACAACAACAACAACAACAAAAACAAAATGTCAATACCTCAATATTATTTTTCAGTGCCCCCCTTTTTCTGCTCTTTTTCAGTCGCCATTCACCCCCTAAGTTCTCTGTCAGAGGGTTTGATATCTGATAACCTCTCCAACTTGGATTAAATTCTGAGCTCGAAAAGCTAGCCAGGTTTTGAAGCAAACACACTGCACCCCAACACACACACACACACACACACACCGAGAGAGAGAGAGAGAGAGAGAGAGAGAGAGAGATTTTTTTAAAAGGCATTCTATGCCTGGTTAGCAACAGGGATCTGAGATTGGGTGCAACAAACCTCTGACATTCTGGGGACAGAGAAAACATCTGTTGTTGTGAGCAGCTTACAGCCTCTATCTGACCACAAAGGATCTCATTTCCATTAGTAGGATTTGCAATAGAGAGTTTGCAATACAAGCAAAGGGCAGAGGACCAAAAAGGGGAAGAAGAAGAAAACATTTTGGGAGTCTGCCAAAAAAAAGGGGGGGAGCATAGATATCCTTGAAAAGGAAGCCAGGGCTTTCATGGGCAATGTCAAGTATAGTTACATCCTCAGTAAAAACAATAAGCAGGCTGTCACGTCATCGTCCCTGCTACACACAAATAAACACACTTGATGAAATCTACTTAGATAAATAGAACTGCAAATCTCTTTGAGCTATATCCAGCTAAGCTACGCTCTCTAATGGACCCAAGTGAGTCAATGTCCATTGCTTTTGATGGGTCTACTCTGAGTAGGACAACTACTGGAGACAACCTTTTGTCTTTGCTATACAGTGAACAGGGCTATATGTCTTCAGGAAATTCACAGAATTTAGCTTGCTCAAAATGTCTGCTTTTTTAAAAAAGCACAAACACATGTTTCTAGACGGGAGGTGACGGGAACCTTGAGTTCTCCATATCAGGGTCATCTTTACCCGGGGGTGCAAGGTGTGTGGGGCACCTGGGCGCTGAATTCGGGGGGGGGGGCGCCTCTCCATCGGCGGCAGTGACTCCGTAGCGTTAAATATTCCTGATGAGTCAGGAAACAAACAAAAGCACTTTTTCTGCTGCATCGTTGTTACAGGTGAGCAACAGTTGTTATGGGTGAGCAATTTCCCCTCTAAAAAAAGGTCAACAACTTTGGCTTCCCCCCTCCCAAAAAAAGCTCAATAAAAGTTAATTTGGGGGTGCTGGGCCTTGGCCCAGTATACCTGAAGGAGCGTCTCCATCCCCATCAGTGGCGTAGCGTGGGGGGTGCAGGGGGGCTGGGCGCACCGGGCGCAACATCTGGGGGGGGCGCTCGTGCTCGCAGCTCTCTGCCCCTACTAAAATCCACGGGTTAGGGGGTGCAAATTACTTGCCTTGCCCCGGGTGCTGACAACCCACGCTACGCCACTGACCTCCATTGTTGTGCCCGGACACTGAAGTCCAGCTCTGAGGGCCTTCTGGCGGTTCCCTTGCTGCGAGAAGCCAAGTTACAGGGAACCAGGCAGAGGGCCTTCTTGGCAGTGGCACCCGCCCTGTGGAACGCCCTCCCACCAGATGTCAAAGAGAAAAACAACTACCAGACTTTTAGAAGACATCTGAAGGCAGCCCTGTTTAGGGAAGCTTTTAATGTTTAATAGACCATTGTATTTTAATAGAGTGGCTGGGGAAACCCAGCCAGATGGCCGGGGATAAATAAAATTATTATTATTATTATTATTATTATCTTTGCACCCAGGCAGCGCATATGCTAAAGACAGCCCTGCTCCATATGTTGCTGAGTACAACTCCCATCCAGCCAGAACAATTGCCATGCTTGCTGGGGCTGGTGGAGTTGTAGCTCAGCAACATCGGGGTGGGGCGGCAAAGATTCCCCCACCCCTGCTGTAAAGATGAGAGAGCCTCTAGCATAGCTCCTTTTCATGACTAGTCAGACACATTGTAATGGCAGAAGCCATATCTGAATATAGTTTAGCACATTCAGTCCCTGTTCATCTACAACGGGATGTATATCTTTTTGGAAGGGTTTGCAAGTTTAAATGTTTTGACTGACTACGAAGTGGCCTTTTTAGCCAAACAACAGGGGTGAGGGGTTTTTTTTAATATATATATATAAAAAAAGTTTATTTACTCAATTTGTATACCACCCTTTCATCCATAGATCTCAGGGCAGTTCACAACATTAAAATGCAAGACAAAAACACAACATACATAAGAAAAACAAGAACACCCCCCATCAATAAACCCCCTCCCCCTTCCTTTTGGCCTCGCTCCCCCCACACTCCCGCATGCCGAA